CCATTGTTGTTAGGGATTCTCCTCAGAATATATGGGACTTGTCTTCCAAGTTTTCATTTATTTATTTTTTGGTACCCTCCTGCAGAAATTCCCTCCGGCTATCCATTCCAGTCTCTCCCAGACTCCTTCCGAAGACACTACCCATACCTTCTCCAGCCAACCGCCGCGTCAGAGGCAGATGAGTTGGGCTCCAGTGTCCCTCTGCCCACCAGCAGCCCCGAGCGCTTGGCACTTTCTCCAGAGGTGAAGCCCATTCACCTTTCCCCATCCAAGATGGTCAAGCCCATCCAGACGGTGGAGGAAGAAGAACCCTTGGAAGAACGGGTGAAAACGGAGCTGGAGCTGGACAATAGCCAAGAAGAAGGTATCCGCGAACAGGATATGGGGGCCCTGGATATGGCCACTTCCGTTGCTCTCCCTGTTGAGGACACCAATGATTGCGATCTTCCGTTGCACCACGGCAAAGCCCTCAGGAGTTCAGTCCGTGAGGAAGTTCTTGAGGATTGCCAAACTGTCTATCCAGGGATGTCCTGCTCGGTGGAAATGGAAGCCCAAGCAGAAGAGACCAATGATGGTGAAACTTGCCCCATTCATGACTATGGTGGGAGTTTGTTACAGAGAGATCCTGAACCGTCTGAGATGGGATTGGTTCCTCAGCCCGAGAAGTCACCATTGGCTGTAGAGATGCCCCATATCAGATCTCCCCCAAACAGAGAATTTCCCAGCATGCTTCAGGAAGAGGAGGAACCCATGGTAGAAGGCCCCATCTACAGGAATGAGATCTATTCCTGCCCGGTCCCATCTCTGGACATCAAAATCGATGACCCCTTGGCTGGTATGAATGCCTTAGCAGCAGCAGCTGAATTACCCCAAGCGTGTTCCTTGCTCACAAACAGCGATGGTGTCCCTCAGGAGGCAGTGGTGAACTTAGAAGTGTCTTCCAGCCTGTCCCCAGAACACACTTTTCTGCACGGAATTACCCTCTTGAGCGAAATCGCAGAACTGGAGTTGGAGAAACGGCGGCAGGAAACCGAAGGTGAGTCGATATGGGCCTCGTTTCAAGACAATGTTCAAGGCTTAGCTTTGAGTTTCAGGCTCTTCTGTTCCAGTGTGGAAGACCCAGGTCCACACGTGAAGGTCCAACTAAACTGATTTATGGCCAGGATCCAATCTGGGTTGGTCACCGAGACCAGAGGCTTTGTCTTCTGAGCTTGTGGGCTTGTCCTGGAGCTCATCTTCTTGGGAACTTCTCTTAAAGCTAGAAGAGCTGTGGTGGCGCAGTGGTTAGAGTGCAGTACTGCAGATCGAACGCACTGCTCACTCCAGGAGTTCGATTCTGAGCTGCTCCAGGTTGACTCAGCCTTCCATCCTTCCGAGATGGGTAAAACGAGGACCCAAATTGTTGGGGGCAAGAGGCTGACTCTGTAAACCTGTTTAGAGAGGGCTGTAAAGCACTGGGAAGCGGTATATAAGTCTGCTATTGCTTGGGAAGGAAGGAAGGAAGGAAGGAAGGACCCAGATTGTTGAGGGCAAGAGGCTGACTCTGTAAACCTACTTAGAGTGGGATGTAAAGCACAATGAAGTGGTACATAAGTCTAAGGGCTATTGCTACTCATGATTTATTGCTACAGGAATATGCACAGGACTCTTCTCAACTCATGCTTAGCCCCTGCTAGGAATTAGATAAGAGACTTCCAAATACAGTATAGAACCTCCGCTCACGACCATAATTCGTTCCATAACTTTGGCGATTTCTTCATCTTCTAATGTTTCGTCTTCAGGAATTTCCGGGTCAGGGGTCATGTTTGATCGCCACCCGAGCATGGATCGGTGACCAGATTCAAAAAATGTTGTGAGTGTTTTGGTCAGAACCAGAGGTGGTCTTCAGCAGGTTCTGACCAGTTCTGGAGAACTGGTAGCGGAAATTTTGAGTAGTTTGGAGAACTGCCAAATACCACCTCTGACTGGAGATTTGATAGTATCCTTCCCCTGCCACACCCACCAAGCTACCCCCACAGAACCAGTAGTAAAAAAAATTTGAATCCCACCACTGGTCAGAACCCGATTCGGTCGTGGTCAGAAGCGTTCGTGATCAGACGTTGTACTGTACAAGGAAGGTTCAAAACTTAGTTTGGTTCTTATCTGCTGGATGTCCCTCCTGTTCCTCATCGCTCATCCATCCTATCTCATGCAGGTCCTGAGAACTTCTCGGCTCATCCAGCCTTGGAAAGCCTCTTAGCTGCTGGTACCCAGATGCTGATGGAAGTTCTCTCCACCCCCTTCATGGATAGCCTGAAGAACATCCGTCTGCCTCGGGAACTGAACCCCAATAAGAAATACAGCTGGATGCAGAAGAAAGATGAGACGATGTATTCCATTAAGTCATCCATTGGGAACATGGATGGCATGGAACTGGATTACAGGATGAAGTTAGCTGAGCTGCAAAGGAGATACAAGGAGAAGCAGAGGGAATTGGCGAAGCTGCAACGGCGGAGAGACTCCGAGTAAGTTACCCAGGGCCCTTCAGATCTCCTTCTGCACCTGCCTGTTGGGCTGGGCAGTGGCACCATCTTTGAGTCTTGCACCATCTTGGCTTTTCCACCCCTCTTCTTGTGTTCTCCATGACACTCAAATTGGACCTTGAGAATGGAAGGGCAACCTTGTGACTTTGGCAATGTGATTTACTGGTTGGTCACCGGGGCAGATGCTGTAGGCACTTGGTTGGCAATTGTGGCTTTCTGTGGGTTGTTTTGAATGTAGGTCAGTGTAGTGGTTTGATGATGGATCATGGTCTTCTTCTCCTTCTCCTCCTTCTCCTCCTCCTTTACCTCCAGCTTCTTCTCCTCTTCCTTCCTTCCTTCTCTTTTTCTTTCTTTCTTTCTTTCTTTCTTTCTTTCTTT